AAAAAAAATAGGGAGCATGAGTAAAGATATATCCACAAACATGTAAACAAGAAGTAACAAACTTTTACCGGGAAACTATAACTGATGACAACTTTGTTGCAGCCCATGCTGAAACAATAGAAGAAACTGAGTCAGCTAAACTCCAAAAAAAAGTGTAGAAAAACTAATATCTTCTTGACAAAAAGAAAAGACAATAAGTATACCTAGTAATTGATAATTTTTTACCCATCGAAGCTAAAAGTACAAGTTTCCCACAAGGGGAGACATACAGATCTTTAACAGCTTTTGTATTTGAAGGAAGTTTTATGTCTTCATTTTGATTTGGATTAGTCAAGTTAATCTAGAAAAGCAAGTTCAAAACTGATTATGAACAGAAGAGTTGAGTGTAAGTTCTGAATAAACTTAGAGATGAATGTATATGTTGCAAAATAAAGTCTACTTCTTTGAGCAATAACTTTACCTTCTTGAGCATATGTGTCCCACCCATCACAAAAATCCTTCTAGCAAGAATCAGAGTTTGATAATAACAATCCATATCAAAAATCCATGCACTCTCTACTGCCATCTCATGCTGTAATTGCAAAGATATCAAGATAGGAACACATGACAAATTGAAAAAAGACATCTTCTTGGGAGGACAATTCTAGTGATATAACCAGTAAATGGTGAAGCAGATAACAGCAGGACTATAAACCTTACCAAAAGGCAACAACCAGATGTAGGTCTTGAAAAAGCTTCTATAATGAAAAGGCATCTCCTTATTTATTTCCGTCCTTAATGAATTTGTTAACCTACAAAGGAAGCTATCTGGATTTTGGTGGTGCCTTCAGTGCATGTGAGTTGGGCCATCAAAAGATTATCACCAACTTGCAAGAGGAAGGGAAGGGCGTGATTGAAAGATTTCAGAATAAATATTCTACTCATTTTCAGGGTGTCACGAAGTTAGCTTCCTCTCCTCTTTCTCTCCCTTTCTTATCCCTTTTTCAATTTCACTCTACATATCATTTGGGGGCTAGGAGCTCTCTCTCTCTCTCTCTCTCTCCAACCAAGAATAATATTTTTCTAGGATTGAAGAAGGGAAGTTTCAAAAGTTTTGTATCACATTGAAGCTTCCTAGATATTAAAATTAAACAAAGAAAAGAAAATCAAAACAGGAAATAAGGATAAGAAAATTCTCAAGGCAGATTATTTTGAGCATAAACTTGTACAACAATATTGCATGGATTGAGATAAACAAGCAGCAAATCAAACAACTAAGACTTAAAGGCTTGCAACTAACCAGTGATAAAATATAATGGCACAAGACAAGTAGTGAGAAGGATGAATTGGTTGGCCAATGTATGACAGGTAAAACACTACTAATGTCTTATGTTTATCTCAATTGAAAAGAAGCACCAACTCCAAAACTCTGTGTGTGTTTGTCGGGTTGATTTTCCACCCCAATGTCTCATTCCGTCCTTTTATTTTCCCTTTTTCTTCACCATCTGCCAGTAGCAAATTCACTATCCCTTGCATTGTTCACTAGGCATTTCAATTTGGTTCATATTACGCAGAATAAAACTAGAGTTTAAAAAAAAATATTGGAAATACCTGGCCAGTCTTGCTAATTTTGTGTGGAACTCATTGGAGTCTTTCAATGGCCCATCTACATTCAAGTACAGTTGTAGCTCTTTCTTTGTAGATTGATGAAGGCACTCCAACCCAGCCTCAGCCTCATCTAAAGAACAATAGAAATGAGTGTCTCTAAACAAAGAACAAATAATAAGATTGCTTTTGCAATGGATCAAAATGCCATACCTTGCAAGTGTACAAGGAACTGCCTCTTCACATGTTCATTAGCATAATATAATAAGCATATGTCCAAAATGTCATACCTTGATGTCTTCTGCTTCATTGAAGCTCTCAACAAAAGAATGAACACAGGAAAAAAGGAGAAGAAAGCAGAGGTGAAATGGGTATACTTTTGTCTTTCATTTTGGTTTGTTTCAATTTGTCAAAGATTTCAAGATCAGTGTAATCACTATATAATATGAATTTGTTTTATTTTATGTATTTCTAAAGGTTAGTTTGGAGAATATTCAAAAAATTTGAAGTATGCTTATGAAAACTTTAGAATACTTGTATAGGAAGGAAGAATCAATTTTTATTAACCTGGATAATCTAGATATAGTGATTACTGTTCAAGCCTAGAACCGAAGTGGAGCCAAACCACTTTTGGCTGTTTGGTTCTGGTTCGGTTTTTCACAGCTTGATTTGGTTTCTAAATTTCTGGAGCCATAAGGACCAGTTTGGTTCTTGGTTTACCTTGGAACCAAAACCAAACCGGTCCATGAATACCCCTATACTAAAAGAAATAGCACATTAAAGTTGGGTACTTACCAAGAAGGGGCTGCTTCCAGTTCCTCTTGCTAGCAAGCTCTTTGTATTTCTTCAGGAACATATCATAGTAACTTTGAATTTTTGCCCAGCACAGACAAAAGAAAATTGCAGAATGAGACATGCTTTATAAAATGTGCAGACAAAATAGGACATGCTTATATGATTTATGACACGTTGAATGTACTTCCAGACGAGCTGCACAAAAAGTAGCATGACCTGGTTCAGCATCTGATGCCACACACTTGCTAATTTTCAGTAACTTGCTGGTCTAGGGTACTTAAAGGACAATAGCCTTCAGAATAAACATTCTAAACAAGATTCATCAAGATCTCCTATGCGGCTGGAGAATAAGGACCAAAAAAAGAGTCTAATCCAATTGAAAGTTTATGCATTGGTTTAAAAACAGAGTTGTTGCGGACATACAACACTGGCAATACACCATATAGACACCACCAGATAGGCAACAGCAGTCATAACTGCTGTTTTTCATTCTGAGTTGACTTTTTGAATGCTTCTACATATCAATAACAATTATTCTTTTTTAAGTGGCTTCACGTACACCAAATTGTTAACATACAGTTAATAGAAGTAAAAACCGTTCAAATATCATAAACGGCATAATTATGAATGTTAAGGCAGCAATCATGAACTTACCCACCACTACGTCCCAAACGTCTTCCCAATCTGTCAAATGCAAGGCCTAGCAGTACAAAACCAAAGGTAAGACATATTCCAGTTTTTCCGTGGGCTTTGAGATCAAGAAATAGGAAGAAGGAAATCACCAGGTAGGACGAACAAGTCAACGGGCTCACTTGCCTGCATAACTGCACAAAAGAAAGTAACAGTAAGAGCATAAACAATTAAACATGTGTAAAAACCTCGAGCTTAATATAATATCAACTGCAAGGCGAAATTCAATCATGTCAAAGTAAAACAACAAACAGAAAGTAAAAAAGATACAAGAAAAACTCAAGTAATATTTGTAATATACCAAGACTACAATACTATTCCACAAAATTAAAACATAAATAGAAGGCTCAAATTAGCCAATCCACATACTCCGACCAATTTCTTCATTCAAACAAAGAGAATAAATTTAAGTACTATACAGCAAAAATTGGAAATATGTACCATCTTCGCGTTGATTTCCATCACAATCCACTGGAGATGGTTCCAAAATGTTCATTGAGTTTGCGATAAGAAGAGTTAAACTTGAAATCTTGATTATAATAACTCAAAGAATAAGTTTGGAACCCAAACTTATCCACTTAGATTTTCTTGAGTGATTAATTGTGTGGTGGATATTAATTTTGTGGAGTTAATATATAGAATAAATTTGAATTACAATATGATAATTTTGAAAAAATTCTGAGTAATTAAGGTTCCATTTGTTTTAACATAAATTATTTTTGTCAAAAAATATTTTACTCATTTTTCGCTGTTTGGTTGAACAAAAGGTATGTAAAACATTTTTTAAGGAAATTTGCGTTATTTTTCCAAAAATGACTTACCTTTAAAATTTTCATAAGTCAATTTTTACAAAATTGATTCTCACTCACTTTCTTTCAACATATTTAACCTTTTCAAATAAGTTTCTAACTCATTAAAAAATCATAAATGACTTTATTGAACCAAAATTTCTCTTTAGACAATAAAATATTTTTGTTTAAAGTGTCAACCAAATGCCGAGAAAAATAAAAACATTTTTTTGTTCAAAATCAATTTTTAAGATTTTTTTTAATGTAAATTTACGTTGAAACAAACAGAGCTTAAGTCTAAATATCAAAAATATTGGACAAATTATATCAGTAGTCCCTATGTTCCTTATATCATTTTGGTCTTTATATTTTAATTAGCTCAAATTTGACCCTTAATTTTAAGTTTTGTGTCAATTTGGTTCAATTGATAATGTCGATAATATTTTTGAAGAACAATTATCACCGAATTAGTTGGGATTGACTCACTGAGTTGAGTAGGCTTATAATTTTACTCTGAAAAATATGATATATATCACTTATGCTTATTTTTCATAAAAATTAATAAGAGTTGTAATCAATTGAGTTAAGTTGAGATAAAATCATAAATTTAGTGTTAAATTCAAACTAATTAAAATTATAAAGATTAAAATAATACAAAGATCAAAGTATAAAAACTAACATGACAATTTGCCAAAAAAATATTTGCACTCAACCAAATCCCATCAAACAATCACGAGAGCTTTTTTAATAAATTCCCTTTTTAAGAGTTTTATTCCATCCAACTCATATTTTTTTTTACTATTTCATTAGGTCCTATTTGAGGTAAGAAGACCAAGACGCCCTCAATCTCTCCTACTCCCATTAATGTTGATATTTAATATTGATTATAGTTCCCATGACTATTCCTATTCCCCATATCTTCACTCCAAAAAAATGCATTAACTACACACCACTGTTTAATGTTGATATATATTACACAAAAAATTAAACATGGTTCATTATTGATTGTCATTATGTTTTGGTTGTTCTCATGCATCCAAATGTTGACTGTACGTGATGACGTGAATGTTCACGTTAGATGACGTAAATATGAATGTTCACATTAGATGACGTTATGATAAAGGTGATGTTAAGCTTCACATCAGCATTGCATCAAATTACACAACCACAACTCTCAACTTTCATTTGAATATAAGCATAACTATACATGATGACGTGAATGTTCACATTAGATGACGTAAACGTGAATGTGAATGTGAATGTTCATATCAGATGACGTGAATGTGAATGTTCACATCAAATGACGTTTGTGATAAAAGTGATGTTAAGATTCACATCAACATTGCATCAAATTACACCACCACAAGTTTCAACTTTCATTTGAATATAAACATGACGTGTGAATGTTCACATCAGATGACGTTGTGATAAAGGTGATGTTAAAGTTCACATCAATATTGCATTAAATTACACAACTACAACTCCCAACTTTCATTTGAATATAAACATGACATAAATATTCATAATAAAAAGGGGGGAATTACATTATGTGTTGTCAATTTCATGATGTTGATATTTAATGTTGATTGTCATTACCAATAGTAATCACAATCACAAAAATGGGGAATATAACATATTATCGCTGTTTAAAAATAAGAATGTTCACATGTTGTGAATATTCACATCACTACATTAGATAAGAGAGAATTTTTCGGAAAGGTTTTGTGAACGTTTACATTAAATGAGAGAGAATTCTCAGGGCATTGAAGCCATTAAAGAACTTTTCGGAAAGGTGTCAATTTTATAAGATTATCAAATTTTTTAATAAGTTTGATGAAAAAAGAGTTTTTTTGGTTTAGGGTTTAGGAACACTAAATATCAACATTAAGTTTGATGACAATGGAGCTTTTTTGGTTTAGAGTTGAGACATTACATATCAATATTAAATATCAACATTAAATATAAGGGCATAAGAGTTTAAGAAAATAGTGTAAATTAAGAAAAAAAGATTTTATGAAATAAAAGCATACATACATGTGATTAAGTGGGTTAAAAAATTATTTCATAGACTTCTTGGGTTAGAACACTTCTAAATGAAATTTATCAATAAAAATCCCTTAAACGTATACGTATATATTTAACAAATTAAATCATAAATTAATTACAGTTTGTTTATATACATGCATATCATAATATCCAATTAAAATTAAAAATTAAGTTTGTTAAAAAAACTATTTGAGAAACTATAGTTTCTTAAATGATTTTTATATTATGTTTTCAATTTTTTTTTACTTAGTCACGAAGGTAAATTTATTTATAAGTTTACAAAAAGAACCAAAAATAGAAGCAGAAGAAAACATAACAGGTAGAATTGTCTTTTTATTATTAATATTGATGGAGTTAAGGTTGTATTTTAGTCTAAAATCGTATAAGGGTATACAACTATTTTTAAAAAAAAGTGAAAAAGTGCTATTGAGCCATATCATAGAGAAGTAAAGCAGATTTTGTCCTAACTTTAAAGATGCACACACCATAATTTTTCATTCATAATTTTTCTCACAAAAATCGTAATTTCTATCACAAAATTTTATAACTTTCACTATAAAAATCGTAATTTTTTTTGACTATGTGCAGAAGGCAATGTTGTTCCTGGCCGAGGACTTTTTGGAATGATTTGGTTCTTTGAGATTAAGTGTGTAAATCGCACAAATGAGAAGGCCTAGGGTTTGCTAGTATTCCAAGGATCTCAATCAAAGTTTGCCAGTTTGAAAAATTGCTAAGTGTGGAAGGAAAGAAGAAAGTCAGTTGGTTAATGGCCAAACTCTTCAAATTCACACACTTCAGAAAACCCTTCACATTCAAAACAGTTCAACTCTATATCAGCAGGCTAGATTCTTCCACGTGGACGGGCTAGATTAGTCCTCTTAACCACTGTTCATGTTTTTTCGCCCCATGTCTAATCCATCATTGAATATGGACCCACGAATCATGTCATCATGTGGATCACCATTCATCGATTCCTGCACATAACATAAGCACTCAAGCGCCTAGCGATTAGACTACATTCTAGGAGGCGACCGGCTAGATCTGTCAGTCAGTCAGTCCCATCGGTCAGCCAGGTCTGCCGGTTAGCCAGATCCATCGATCAGCCAGATTCGGATTTATCAATGGTTGGCCAGTTTTAGTAGTCAGTCATATTTAGCGGTCAACCATCTTCAGTGATCTATCGTATTTCCGCGGTCGGCCCTCGCAGTTGGTTTCTTCGCTCTCTCGCCATAAGGTGGTTGGTCGGTCCCTTCTTCACGACTGGGGAGACCACTATTACTGTTTTCATGCCCTTTGTGGGATAAATTTTAAAAAAAATGATACTACAATAATTACATGCTATTTTTCTATTTAGGCATTAAAAGTTTTATAAAATAATATATAACCCAATTTTTATGGGTTATATATCTTTTTTGTCAAATATGAACAAGAAGTATGTTATTGGCAGAGTGGCAGAGTGGATTGGGTGCATGGTGACTCCTTGGTCAGGAGTTCAAGTCTCAGGGAGCACAAAAGAATTATTTTTTTTGGGTCAAGGCACTGACTTTTGACAACCAACTTATCTTTGGTCGCTAAAAGTTTACTTTTGGCTAATATGAATTGGACTTTTCGCGACCAAAAAAGTTGGTCTCGAATGGTCACTTTTAGCGACCAAAGGCTTTTTTGGTCGCAGAAAACTATCTGTGACGAGGCTTTAGCGACCAACTCGCAACCAACATATTTTGGTCGCGAAAAGGTTTTAGCTACCAAATATGATACTTTTTGCGACCAAACATGTTCGTCACGGAAAGTGTTTTTTCTAGTAGTGTACTCAGTTCCTGGGCAAAATTCTTAATACCGGTGCTCTCCAGTAATTTTCCTTTGTCATTAACCGTTCTGGCCCTTGTAGCTAATCCCGCTTTTGGCTGTTCCAGCTTTGGTTGAAATCCCTCATCCACATCAGGCTCGTCACTGAGCCACCTCGAATTATTTGCTAACCCATTCAGATCAAACCAGTTAATTTGCACATCCCTCGAATCCTGTTCATTGAAGAACCGCAAATTGTTGATGTCCTCTTCAAGGTAAGTTAAGTCATCCAATCTCTGGCTTAGGCCATCCTCCTGAACTGCACTAACCGCCATTCCTGTCGTCAACTCCAGCTCTGGTTTGGCCTGATTGGTTGGCACAATATAACGGCATAGGTTGTATTCCTCCTCAGTTAAGCCCATGGAGCCCTGAGGCACTGGGCTGATATCCCCATTCTCCACCAAGGACACCCTGCCTTTTTCTACCACAGTCACCACCATAGGCTTGGGTTGAGATGTGGACGCATTCATCATGCACAAATCTATACTTTCCGGGATGAACAAGGCTGGCTTAGGTAGGTAGGAGGGGGTGATGTATATATTGGGGTCGTAAAGGACAGCCAGTGTTTGGATAAGGTTTATTTGCCGGGTAGAGGGGTTTGGTTTTTTGATGGGAGAGGATTTGTAGTGACATTGGGCTTCTTGGGAGGCGCTATCACTTTGTTATCAATGAGGTACTGAATCTCATGACGAAGTCTAAAGCACTAGCCGGTATCATGACCATGCTGTTGGTGAAAGGTGCAGTACTTTGCTGGGTTGTGTTTAGGAGGGAGAGGATCGGGGCAATAGGCATTGGTATAATGGCTTTAGATGCCCTTTTCTAATCAAGACCCTCAGA